CTCTCTCTCTCTCTCTCTCTCTCTCTCTCTCTCTCTCTCTCTCTCGGCGAAATTGTAACCGGTCCATATTAAACCTAAGGAGTTCTTAAAAAACGACTTAAAATAATGGCCTTTGAGCTGATTTTAAAATCAAACGGACGCAATCGCCCTTCCCGCACATCACCCGTCTAAATTTCACAACCAGTCGCCGATGCACATACGATGGGCCGGTGGTAGGCGATGAGTAACTTGTGAGACGGGCAGATGGTCTACCGCCCGTCATCTACGGGGAAAGGGAGATTGAAAGAGTGAGTGTGCGTGTGGGTAGTTGTGTGAGTGTGTGTCTTCGTGTGCGTGTGCGTGAGTGAGAGACAGACAGACGTTGCTTTTCTCTTCGTCTTTGCTCTCCCTCCGTCACCGCACGCGTGTATTATTTTCGACTTTTGGGTTTTAATTAACGTGTCGCGCGCGTGTACATGCGCGTACGCGTCCGTGCGCGTGCTAGTGGGGTCCGGCTGGCTAGCTGGCTGGCTGGCATGGTTCCTAATCGAGGGATGTCGTCCGTTAATATTACGCCGACCGTCGTGTGTTACAGTCGGAGGACGCTCATCTGGAACTTGACGCGGCACGGGAGCGCGTGCGATCGCTACTGGATTCGTCCGCGGACAGGAAAACGAGAACGACTTCCGTCTGGGAGACTTGGCAGCGGGCGTCGGCCGAAAACAAATTGGACCGGGTGCTTTGGTCGCAAACCATGTGCGAGAGCAGCAAAGTGAGTGCTCCGAATCCTTACGATCGTTACGTACATTACAATTTGTGCACGTTATTACTATTATTTTTCTGTTGTTGTTATTGTTATTATTATTATAATACTGTACAAACATTTAAAACACGGTAACTGGTGGTTACGCAACGTAACCGATAGACTAGCACTAGAGAGCATTACAAAACCAATGTGAAACCCTTAACAATATTCTCTTGTTTAAGTTTCGTTTGAAAACTCCAAGTCTTATGCTTATAGTTCAAACATTTGGGTGATTTGGAAAAATAATATTATTTCCGAATTAAAACCCAACTTTCGCGTCTTGACGCAATGATTGCAAACATCGAACTGAAAATAATAAACCTCTGTTCTAAAAATCTTACATTTGTACGGAGTTATACACTTCAGAGTCACAGCAATCGTTTTTAAACCCTCATAAATCGTGTTTCCCCAGAGATATTTATAATTACAGTCTCGTAAAAGAAAACCAGTGCTCACTTGATTGCAGAGACTACTCCAAAAATTATACAGTGAAAATAGGTTAAAGATGACAGATGTAGAGCTATTAAGATAAGAAAACATTTATTCTAGTAGGCTGTATATTATTTATCTTACTTAACATGTTTGTATTTATTTATCTTATTGTATTAAGTTTATAAATAAAAATACATTTTTATTTTGTCGTGGTTGATCCAGTTTACACAGTATTTGATAAAGTCTAGGATGAATGTAAACAGCGTTTTATTCTTGTCGTAATGGGTAAGAAACCCTAGAATAATGTGGTTTTTAGTAGTTTATCAATAAAAATCTTCAATTTTAAAATTAAAAAGTTACCTATATTTTTTTTTTTTTGTAAAAAAATAATTTAAGGAACTTATACAATGAATTAATTTATTTGGACTAAATATTGATTTATCGTTATTTTTTTTCTGTGCAAACTTTTTATTTGTCAGTAAAAAAAAAAAAAAAAAAAAATAGTATTCGAAACTCTAAGCCGTGATACATTTACAGAAAAAAACATAATGAATGATATTTTGTTAGTAATTTATTTAATAAAGTTCTAAAAATTACAGAAAAAATTGTAATTTATTAATTTATATCACGACCTTGGTTCAAAATTTTTAAATATAAATGAATTTTATGACACAGTGGATGAATGCCAAAATCGATGAATCCAAGAAACTTAGTCTTTCCACGTCATAAGTTTCGACGTCTCACACACACACACATAACTTGTCAAAACTAATTAATAATCTATTTTTTTTTTTAAAAAGATTATAAATAAAATATAAATAATATTTTTTAACTAATGATGTTTATTTTATGTACAGACTGTAGACTGGGTTTCCAAATTGGAATCTCAATTATATCCAGTCTTGAAATCCGAACCATCTTCAGTAGATCGACATATTTCAGAAGTTAAGCAAAAATTGAATAACGTTTTACCAGAAGTTCAAAGAGCTCAAGATGAAATAGAATCTAGAATAAAAACAGCCGAAGAACTCATTGGAAAAGGTTGGTTTTAATTAAAAAAAAATATATATATATATATATATATCTAAGATTTCACTTTTAACGGCAATCCGACATTAACCGGTGTTTGTCACTATTTAAAAAATATATAAAAAGCGTAAAATGAAATTATTATATTATTACTAGATAATTACTAAATAAATTAAAAGTTCATGCTATCTTTCTAATGTCAATTATTTTATTCATATTTAATATTTTATTTACAATAGGTATTTACTGTTTATTATTATTATTAGTTTTGTTCATGTTAATTTAAAAAAAAAAAAGATTAATTTCACAACTCGATAATTATTTGTTCTTTAGGAAATATTCTAGGTGATAACGTTTCAATTCCTCCGAGGTTAAAAGAACTACACAACCGCCTTGTTGGAATCACTACAGAGTATCATACACTGTTAGACATGTTTTTGTCATTTTTCAATTCTTTACAAGAAGTTTGTACACAAATTAAATATATTAATAATGTTTACGAGTGTTTAAAAATAACTTATTCTTAATGTATTTTTAAGTTTCATGATCGTGTCAAAGAAGCTGAACAAGGAAGGCCTTCTGATATCTTTAATCTCAAGGTGGATGAAGTTGAAGAGCTTTTGAAAAACCACAACAAATCTAGACAAACAGTTTTGGACAGTTTTAAAATTGTTTATGCCGAAAATATTCGTCTAATGGATAAAATCAAGCAACAAGTATATTAGAAAAAAATCACAATATTATTCTAGAGTTTAAAACATAACGTTTTCTTTTTTTCTTTATCTAGGAACCTCTAAAATCCGGAGAACAAGACATGTACGTTGTTCGTTATTTAATGGAAAACGAGAGAAACCGTTGGGATCAATCGTGCGAATCATACTGTCAAAAAATCGAGCAGCAACAACAATTAAGTCAGTTCGACAATGACCTTATTCAGATCAACAATAACCTGAACGATCTTTCACAACAATTAGCATCCACACGAGGACAATATGGCGCAAATTTAGCATCTGCCAAGTCCGCTTCTCTTGCCTTTCATTATTTTGAAAAAACTATATTAGTTAGTTATCAAATGCAAAATAGTATTCCCGAATGATAACTAATGTTTTTTTAATTTAATTCTAGCTTTTAGAGCAGCGCATTGAAACATTCATAAACGCAGCAAACTCATTGATGAACTTTGATCATACTAAGTCTGAACACATCCGTGACGAATTAAATAAGCTGAAAACTAGATGGGATACGTTCCAAGCACAAGTGTTCGAGAGTCGTAACCATATCGATCTTTGTGTACAATATTTTACATTAATAAATGAAGTAATTATATTTAAACTCAATTAAATTATTTTTATACGTTTGCAAATGTGTTTATGGTGTATATTATACAAACAGGCTCAAGAATGGTTCCACGAAGGCAGTATACTCTTAATGAACATTGCTCGAAAATCTACCGAAGTGAAAACGAGCGAAGAAGCTACCATACTTTTAAAAGAAATCGAAATATTTCTGAAGCCCGGTGACATAAAACAAGAAGAACGATTGAATCAAATACACGAGCTCAGTGTTCAACTTTTTGGAGAGCAAGCCATTGCTGAAGTACCCCAAGTGGTCACAGAAAATAAAGAGCTTCTCGATTCATTTTCTTTGATTGCGAAAGAACTCAAGTCGTTCGACGATAAACTCAAATCTAAAGAAAATTACGATGGTCATAACGAAGTTAATAAAATAATTACTAACACATATGAAGAAATAATGACAACCACCTCCATGACTAATGTAAATAAAACCAAGTTTATTTGTTTTTTATATTTATTATGTTTTACGTATTATAGGGTGTATTATCGAACGAAGATAACGTTTCATCACCGAAGAAAATAAAATTTGACGAAATTGTGAAACCTAAACCTGTAATTACTGTGCCACTAAAAGATAACATTGTTGACGAAGGAAAACAATTCAAATTCGAATGCTGGTAACATTTATTTTTTATTTATTTTTCTGTAAATTTGTAGTATGATATATTTTTTCAAATTTTAAATTTCTATAACATATTTTAACATAATATATTATAGTATTGAAGGCGAACCTTCAAAAGTAACCTGGTACAAAGATAATATTTCAATCGATAATAATCCGGACTACCAGACATCTAAAATTGATAATCGTTATATATTGACGATCGAAGAAACATTTGTTGAAGATTCAGCTCAGTTTACATGCAGAGCTGAAAACGAATCAGGGTTCAATGAGACGAGTGCATATTTGTCAATTAAAGGTTTATCATTAAATTGTAACAAATTTAATAAAACCGAATAAATTATTTGACTCTTGTTTAATGTTTTTAAATAGAATGTGAACCTGAAAATCAAATTAGTCCGTCGGTATTTACAAAATTATTATCAGATTTGGCAGTACAAGAAGGCGAGGCTAGTTCGTTGTCCTGTAAGGCGGAAGGAAATCCCCTTCCGACGGTACAGTGGTACAAGGACGATATATGTATTGATAATAATCCTCAATATCAAATCACGTATAATAACGGTGATGCGTTGTTAAACATAGAACATACCAGTACTTCTCTTGGTGGAAAATATACTTGTGTAGCAACTAACAGACTTGGTTCCGATTCCACGTCTTCTAAATTATTTGTCAACGGTAAGTACTTACACTAGAATAATAATCTAAATACTGTTATATCTTTATGTAATAATTATTGTATGATTTTTTTTTTTCGATGAATTGTTTTACATAATGAGACTTAATTTCAATTAATTAATTATTTATAGCTATAAAAAAGCCTGAAAATGGCCCAAAATTTGTTACACTCTTGTCTAATGTAATGGCTAGAGCCGGTCAAAAGTTAAAATTAGAATGTGAAGTAGAAACGGATGAGCCACCGACATTGATATGGTTTCACAACGGGAAGATTATGAAAGAAATAAAAGATTTCAAGGTAAAGTGTTATTTTGTTTTATCGCGTCGAAAATTATTTTTATTTAATTAGTGGTCTGTCCAGGTTTCCGAAAATCGCGGGAAAATCAACTTGATTATCCCAGAAGCGTATCCTAAGGACGCGGGCACTTATAGTTTAACAATCAGAACGAAAAACGGCGAAGCGTCGAGCAGCTGCCAGGTGTCGGTGAAAGGTTTACTGCCCAATGAGACGTCTGATTCAGAGATCGCAAGTGACTTGGAGCCGATAAAACCGTCGATACAGTTACCTTTAAAAGATCAAACCGTCCTCGAGGGCGGCAGCGTTAATTTAAAATGCATAATCGTCGGACAACCCGAACCCGAGGTAATGATCAACGTGATTAAAAAATATTCGAAACAAATGATTAAATAAAATAATAATATTTATATAATTGATCTATCAGGTCATTTGGTACCACGACGGGAGGCCCGTTAAAGAATCAAAAGATATTCAACTTCTATTTCAAGGAGATCAGTGTTCATTAGTTATTAAAGAGACGTTTATCGATGATGCGGGAGAATACAAAGTGGTCGCTATCAATTCGGCGGGTGAAGCTAGTAGTACTTGCGTATTGAACATTGAATTTAAACCAGGTAAGCGAAGCCGATGCGGTTGAGCAAACTTGAACAGTGCGTGATGATATTTTGATATGACGTCGATCTTGGGCTTATTTGTTTTTTCGTAGTACCCGAAATCGATGAACTAGTGGTTTCGCCAAAGTTCACCAAGCTACTGTCGGACGTGTTAGTAAGAGAGGGTGATTCTATCGTGTTAGAGTGCAACGCCGAAGGGTGCCCGAAACCTATTTTCAAATGGATTAGAAACACCGTGGAAATCGAACCCGACCACAGGATTACAGTAATACGCGCTTTTGATGTTTGGTAATAAACTGTCGACAGTATGGTACACGATATTTTGTTGAAACTTTCAGCTGAGTTCGGACGAAAGCGGCACGGCCACACTTCGCATACAAAGCGCTCTGCCCGTTGATAAAGGGCAGTATACCGTAAGAGCCATAAACAAAGCAGGGGAGGCCAAATGTTTTTCACACGTCATCGTGAAAGCTATTTCGACTTTTGACGCGACAGCTGTGCCCGTCACGGACGAAATTCATTTCGAAGAGAAATTGGAAAAACCGGTATTCATAGAGACGTTTTCGGATGTGGAAGTGTTCGCGGGTGAAAGTGTCAAATTCGAGTGCATCGTTGTTGGTAAACCCGCTCCAAAGGTCAGTCCTATTTAGTCATATTATTTGACCTTGCTAAATTGTTTTGAACAACTCTATTCGGTTTATTAGGTCCGATGGTTTTTCAACGAGAAACCGGTGAGCGGAAAATCGTTCCTGGTGTCCACCAGTGGCGATCGTCAGGTACTCACCATACCCGAAGCCGATGTCGTACACAACGGAAGGATCGATTGCACTGCCGAAAACGAAGCGGGCAAATGCAGCTGCGTGTCTTCGCTTAAAATAAAAGGTGCTACATAATACGATTACCATCATTTCGTACTGTTACATTATTAAGCCAAAGCCAAATAATAGAAAAAAATAAAATTAATACACGGTCAAAAACATTCTCATTTAATTATACGCTTAAACACACTACTTATGCGCACCTAACGAGTAGCGGTGGATATAAAGATTATAAACTATTCTTGTCACACAGTTAGACGGAAGATGTCTGAGTAACAGCGTTCTAAAAATATAGCCCGTGCTAGCGTTCATGTCCAACGTATGCATTCCCATCGTACAGTCACCGCACATTGTACAATCCTTATACATCCGTCGTTCATCTCGCAACATAATAATATTATATTTTGACCGCTTCTCCCAACAAAAGCCGTTCTGTGATTAATTCATTTACTTGTATATTTGCACGAAGAACGCGAAGTTGTACCGTTTACCATGGCCAACAACAACGGAGGCGATAATAATACAAGACGCACCGTTTCCGAAGTGTACGAGTCCAGTTCTAAATTCGAGTCGAAACAGTCGATGTTTGTGTCATCGTCGTCGTCAATCAACGGTAATAGCGCTCCTAAGTTTAAATTGGATTCGTTCAGTTTGCAATCGGAGAAACAGAGTAAACAATTTGGAAACAACACTCCGGTGCAGGTTGGTTGATATTTTCACAGCGAATATAATAACGATTACTGTTAATTTTATTATTATCTTTATAACTATCGTGTTTCATTATTTTTTTTTACAAAAACAAAAATCTTTTAGTCCGAATCGCTACGAACGGAAGAATATCATAATTTGGACGGGAAAAAAAGCCAACACGTAACCGATTTGAGTTCCACAAACATATCCGAAGAGCATCAGTCATCATTTTTCGAACGAGGCTTGCTCAACCAAGGGCTCGTTAAGGACGATTCTCAAAAATCGCTGACCGACAGAAATATCACAAAACATATCAGAAAGCAAATGGCGCCGCGTTTTGTTTCAGCTCCGCAAGGGAAAATGGCGGAGCAAGGGGAAGACGTATATTTGGATGCCATAATAGACAGTTATCCGCCGTCCGATATTACGTGGAGTAAAAACGGCATTGAATTAATTTCCGACGGTTATAAGTTCAACATCGCCAACGAAGTCAATAAATCCCGTTTGGATGTCAAACGTTTGACTGTAGAAGACGCAGGTCAGTACACGTGTAAGGCCACAAATGCCGCTGGTGGTACAAGTTGTACGACCGATATTATTGTCAGAAGTAAGTTTTGTGTTTCGTCACGTGTTTTTGATCCTGAGTGAATAAGAATCCACATGACTAGTAAATTTTTGTTCGTAGAAAACGTGTTTCCACCAGTCATGTGCCGGAGACTGTTGCCGAATACGGTCGCCGAGGGCGAGAGGGTTGTCTTAGAAATCGAAGTTGCTGGAACCCCGGAACCCACAGTTAGCTGGTTTAAAAATAACCAACCATTAGTGTTTCCGTCGAGTGCGTATCGATTAAGACAACAAGGGAGTTGCAGTGCGATTGTGATTGAAAAAGGTAACGGTTTCAACGCCGCATGGGAAAATGTATTTCGATCTGTATAACGTATAAAATGGTATCGTTTACAGTTACTATGGAACACGCTGGAGAGTACAAAGTTGCGGCAAAAAATGAAGGCGGGGAGGCAGTAAGCTGTGCCGACTTACGAGTGGTCCAGCCCTTGCCCGATGTAGGACTAAATATGTTACCTACGTTCACTCCAAACGATCACACAGATAAAGTAAATGTGGTAAGTTGCATTATGTAGAACTATAATATCTTATATTATTATTATTATTATTATTATTTTAAATATAATAATGTCTTTTGTTTTGAATACTATATATTTTAACTATAGGGCTTTTAAACATTTACGTATTATACTGACATTCTTACATAAAATAATTTTTTTTTTTAAGAATAGTTATTATATTTAGTACAAATCATTAAGACTTTTTAAGCTATAGTTTGTATTGAAAATTAAAAAATAATTATTTACTTCTTGTATTAGTTAGTGAAGATATTATATAAAAGTAATCACATTAAAATATTTATATTTAGTATTATATTTGAATTATAATAGTATACATTTTTACTGATAAAAACAAGTTGGGTACTGTTTAATAATTTTTAATAAACTGATGGTAGGTACTTTGATTTTGATCAATCTCTATTTTACATAAATTATTGTTAAAAATTATGACAACTTTATCAATAGGCAATCCATTTTAACTATTGATGAACAAAAAAAAAATTATTTATTGATAATTTATTGAATTTAAATACTTTATCGTGTGTTTGTATTTTTAATTGAGTTTTATAAAAGTATACGTTTTATAAATCTATAGGATTATTACAAAAGTATTGTGCCGGGATATCAATCGAAACAGATGAATATTACAAGTAAAACGGAAGAGAAATCACATTTTTCCAAATCTGTCTTTGTCAAAGAATCAACTAATAGCAGTAAAGACGTGATTATGACAGTTAATCATTCAGAAGAAAATAATTTCAATTTAAACTCTAACAATATTAATTCTAATTACGAAACAAGTGAAAAACAGATATTAGTTCAAAATGAAAACATAGAAGATAGTTCGATAACAAAGAAGAGCGCTCTGCAGTTCTTTAAGAATGTCATAGAAGATAATAAAACCGAGAAAAATGTTGAGAAATCCAGTTATTCAAACACTGCATCTCCGACAGTTCCATATAAAATAGAAAGTCCAGTTGAAAAGTTCAAAGACTCGAAAAACTTTTCATCCGCAGAGACGTATAATGTTGAAGAAAACGTATCGAATAGCTCGTTTAAACAGTTAAATGAGTCGGAAGTCATTTTAGAACCTGGTCCCCCACCCACTTTTGACTACATGCCAAGAGTACAGACGGTAAAAAAAGATCAAATGACCGAGCGGTTGAAAAGACTATCGACTAATCAAAAATTATTATCACCCGAACAAATTCCATCGGGAGCTGTTAGAATATTTCCCGACATGACTTCCGAAATAAAACAAGAAGTAATTGAAGATACCTGCGTGAAGAAAGAAGTAATAAAATCAGGTTTGTCCGACAGCACATCGAAACAAAAACATTTAGTCACGTCGTATGGATCATCGGCACACAGTGTACCGCACAGTGTACCGTATAGTGCACCGCATAGTGTACCGCATAGTGCACATCACGGTGAAACACATGTTCCATTGTTAAGACCGCAAGCTAACATAGAAGTGCGACCAGGTTCCCCAAGACCGTCTGCAGAAGCAATATCCATGGAAAAACTCTGGTCCAAAGCGCATTCTCAACACGTGCAAAAAACTCCGGTATCGCCATCGCCTGTTCAGACTAAAACGTATTCGTCGTCCGAAAGCCAATCATTTGTTTCCGAAACCATAGAAAAAAATGGTGAACTGATAAAAAATGAGAGCAGAGAAGATAAACAAGGTAGTCTAAAAATAGACGATGGTGTTAAAAAAATATCTGAGTCGTTTGCTGAAATATCGGTTGGTCCGACTAGACACGTTGAACCACCTCGATATGAAATCAAGCGGCCAAACTCGACTAATGTTTTCGCCGCGGTCGCGTCTAAAAATTTATCCTCAGGCAGTGCAAATCAAACGCAACATTTTTCTGAAGAGTTGTCGCAAGTCAAAACAAGCTCAATGTATGAAATACAGTCAAATACATCTGAGAGCTTAGAAAAAAATAGTTTTTTGATAAAACCCGAACGTAAGTTGAACGGTAATCAAATTTTAGACAAAAATGTCCAAAAAACGGCTCAAATCTTACCAGAGTGCCCGATAGGCTTAATAAAACACGTAGAACCTCCAAAAAGTTCAAAAATTTTGTCTAATAATTTCACTCGGTCACACATCGATGACGCTGCCAAAGAGAAACAGTGGAGATCACAATCGCCAGTCGTTTTAAAATCATCACCGCAAATTAAAACGTACTCGTCGTTCGAAGCTCATTCAAGCTTTTCAAAAAGTTTGGAAAAAGACGGAGTATTGGTGGCATCTGAACACAAGGAAGAAGGCGGTCGAGTGATAGACGACGGTAATCAAAAAGTATACGATACATTTTCAGAATGCTCAAAACTACCAACGAAGATCGCAGATCTTTCGAAAAATACTAATAAGTCGAATTCTATAAAAACCATGCAAAAAATGTTCGAGCAAACTGGATCGTCATCGTCAACTGTGCCCAACGTAGCTTCACACGCGAGACCTTATAGCAGAATGAAATCTCGAGCGAGCGACAGTGACTTTGAAAGCGAGGCGGAATTATCGAAGTACAACGTGGAACAAAAAGTGTCGGAAAGTTTCAGTAGTTTCGAAACGAAAGTGTACTCTTCTAAAACTCAGCTACAAGAAGTAAAAAGTACTTCGATGATAATGCAAAGTCCGGTCAAGGAAAGCGGCTACGCAGCAGACACGGACGAGCCAAGAGGCTTTCAGAATGACGCGATTGCAAATAATAATCAAACATTTAATTCCAAGAGAAACTTGGGATCACAGAGCTCCTTAATTAAGAAGGTTTGACGTGTATTTGAATGAAATATTAAACTAACAAGAGTGCTGTACTTGATTCCACTTATAGTCATAACATTTGTGTGATAGTATTGATTTAGTGTAGCGTCTTTGGATTTTTGTGTTTTATTCCATTGCATTTTGTTCGTTTATTGAGTGGTTCATTTGTTGTCTGAACAAATTGCTCGTGTACTCGGTGAGAATACCAAAATACGGGATATTATGATATCTTAAAATTAATATACTATTATAATTATTGTAAAATATTTTTGGATAGAAATATAACTCAATGCGAATAATAATGTATAACAATCAATTATTTGAATAATGATTTTAATGATATTTTTGTGGTTTATATATTCATTGAGCTTGTAAAATATATTTTTTTTATACGTCTAGACTTATCCGCAGTATTAATGCAGTAGTCATGCTTTTGAAAATTATGTAAGAAACGTTGCTGATTAAACTACATTAAAAAAAAAAAAGTTTTATCATTTGCTATGATAAATACGTCGACGCAATATAAAAATGCTTCTTTATTTTTTCAAACTTATTATACTTCGATATTTTTAATGAGTTTTAGTTATTTTGTAGGTCGATGCGTTTGAAAACGATCGTCGACAATACCGTCAAAACGGGCAGTGGATGAACCAGAATAACATACAACAGCAACAGCAACAGTATCAGCAACAGCAAAACTATAGGAGTAACCAAATTCGTAGTCCTCTGAAGTTCGTGAAAGGAGAGTTCCGCGAGAGCGACTACGAGAGCGACTACGAGTGCAGGATTCAGCCGATCTGGCGTCCCTACGACTCGGAGTCCGAAGAACCCGTTTATAAGCCTGTTCGACCCGGATTCAGGACACCCGGAAAACAGCAAGCGAACGTCGTGCAACGACATGCACCCACTCAATCGAGACCCGTGACGGTCAGTGGGCCAACGATGGCGGCGGCAGCTCCGTTTGAGCTGAAGCCCGGCTCGCCTCCCCAGATCGGTTTCGCGCCCTCGCCGGACACGCACCGGTCTGTAAGTTTCGTGGAGTCCGAAAAGACCACGGACAGCGTGCAAAGAACTACGCATTTCTTATCGTCCGGCGTCGGTGGTGGTGGTCAGACGGACCAAGGGACACTGGAGCGCAGGGCCGAGGCGAAGCGTTTGCAGCGAGTCGACGAGATGAGAAAGAGATTCGAGCAAAGACCGCAGCTGGTCCCTGCGGAATCGGACTTTTCGGTCCAAACGGCCTCTTCGCAGTTCTCGGCGCAAGGTATACCCGTCCGAATAAAATATCTAGTCCAGTAATTCCTACTGCTTTTCGCTTTATCGCAAAATCGTACTATCGTCAGCGCATCAATGGGATCGTCAGATTTGCGAATGATAATTACAATAACAATAATAATTATGTTGTAAATTGCGAACAAATAATATGTGCTATGATTAAAGCATGTATAATGTGTACAGTAACGTACGCGGGAAGGGGTTGAGAGAGACGGTATTCTCGGGAAATTTCATATCCGTCATCGATTTTGATTATTCTGCTGCAAAAAAAAAAAAAAAAAGATTGGATTACTTTTTACTATGATTCCGTAGCTTACAAACCGCGACCAAGACATCCAATCTTTTGTCAAAATCTGATTGACAACAAATTCGTAGAATAAGGATTTTTATCGAAGGGACAAAACGTTCCTTAAAACTTTTCACAATTATGATGATATTGCTTTACATTAATTATTGAGATAGGATCAAAAAGTATTTCATCAAGTTATATTTATGTAAAAATGACTATTACCGTTTGTGTTCAATGGTTTTTATAAAATTATCTACTCAGAGTTTTCGTGGAACAAGAAAATTAGACGGAAAACACGTAGTGGAATACGCTAATTGGTTAATGCTATTGACGTTCCATGCTTATTGCATACCAAGTGTCGAGTTTGAAATAGTGATCGATCATGTTTAGTACAAATTTTGCGTACTTCACTGAATATATGTATAATAAATGTATGTACGTGCAATGAATTCTTGGTACGTCAAACGTCGATATTTCGAATTAAGCATTGTTATCGTCTCGAATATTATTAATTGCACCGTAGAGTGTGTACTTCGATTTTTGATGATACAAAAAATTCTCTTATCCATCACATGATTTTTCGTTTCCTTTGACATTTGACGTAGTGAGAATTTACTATATTGTATACCATATACTTTGATGTATATATGTTTTAAAATATTTGTATATAAATCATGTATAATACACATACTTCAATAAAGGTGATGTTGTTGTACACGACTAGGTACTAACCAAACCGATAAATCCCAAATCGGGATCCCGTATTTCAAACATGATTTCGGTTATGAATTCGGTGTAGCGTATCCCGTGAAAACGACTTTCCACGATAAAACGGCGAACCCGGCGGATAGCGTTAGCATACCAGTGACGCACGAGTTTTCCAAACCCGCGGTTCATCAGGCATTCGAAGTGTCTGAGTATAACACTTGCCGGGAACATTATAAGAATACTGCAGGTGATTGACTTCAACACTGTGCCTATTATAACTTTATTCTATTACTGTATTCACATCGCGAATTTGATATGTCTGTTCATTAACTCAACGTACACTACATGTTCTACTGTTATAGAACTGCTACCTACTGCTAAATAGTTTTAATATGATTTCGTAGTGCGCATCGCGCGTTTTCCACGATCAGATTTTGTAGTAGTAATATTTTCGTGGTTTGTATTTTTATATGTATCTTGGTTGTTTCCGCACGTACAGATTTCGCGTTACGTTTGGTTTGTGACTGTACACACGGTCCGTTTTTTATATTAATATTATTTCGTGTTGCACTGGTAGTAGTTGATCATCGCGTGCGTTACATTATTGTACTTGCGCAGAAAACAAAACGCTTTTGTCCGCGCTACAGCCAACCACCGTCAAAGTGCCGCTTATAATCATCTGTGGTAAAATATTTTCTTCCGTTCGTCGTAAGTTGCACGCAAGTAGTATACCATACATTATGTACGTACACGGTTGTAATATTCCATATTTTTGTAGTGTTGTTTTGAAACCCTTCTGATTTTACTAATCGCGTTCGCACGAAACCAGTACGCATTATCATCGTTGATGGAAACAATAATATAATTTAAATGAAAACGAGTTGTACACACCAGACTTTGCAGAAATCAATCTGAACTTCAGTATACACATACATATGTACATATTTTTAAAAAAATCTTCGCGAAACATTACGAGTTATGTCCATCGCTTATAATTTAATTAATTTTTAAACCTATTTAGTATTTACATATTTTTGTAACTTATGAAAACATGTTTTTTTTTATGCTCGGTTTTGTTTTTTAATCAACGATGATACCGTATTACACTCTGTTTTAACGTTTATTTGACTTTTCTTGAAATCCATATATTCACCAACAATAATATGTTGATATTCCGTACGTGGTGTTTTCAGATGGCTCCGTTGTTAGCCCCGTTTACCAAAAAGAATTGAATGCCGTCGAACACTCAGATTCTCCACTTAGTACACCGTTCTTCGTCACCGTAAGTATATTTTATAATTGATTCATGTGGTGGTGCGTCACGAGCAATTTAATTGGACGGGAGGAACAAACGTGGCACAAACGATTGGAGTACGTTACCAGTTAACGAACAAGATATATCGCGGTATTCCCATCGCGTTCATTGTGCCTATGATTTATTTTCATTAACATATTTCGTTAAGAGTCCTCTACACCTGCTCATTTTTATTAAAAATAACACATTCTAAATTTAAGTGTACTTCGAAATGCGTAACCCGACATTAGTTTTAAAAACGCATTGTTGTAAAAACGATGATCGTAGTGCGCCATCTATGCAGCGCGTCTATTTCGTTTCTCGACATTTTGATTTTAACGTCACTGCGCACTGATGAAAACAAAACACCGAACACAACTTGCGCGATCGGAACATGACGTCGTATGCGCAACTAACAGTTTACATTTTGAAGGGGGGCTATAAGTGCCGAGATAATACAGGACCCGCAGTGGCTACGTTCCTACATAACTATCTACTATTTTACACGCAGACAAAATTTGTCTCAACTCACAAGTGCAGGTTCGATTCAAATTTAACGAGCAGATGAATAATACGTTAAACCGCGATTTCGAGAACGAAATTTTGATTTTCCCAAGCAAAATGAAAGCCGTAGTACACCGAATAAAACACGAACCGTCAAACCTAACGATCGTTTCGTGCACCGAGACCCAGATAGGCCCGGATGGTCAGACTCGATCTCGGGACGCGAAAGCGCGAGGTTCGTTATTTTTGATTTTTCGATCCGGGAGGGCTGTGAAAAAAACGTTTGGCGCGCGACGGCAACAGCGCTCTTTCGAACCGATGGCAAGTTGGCCGTAGTGTAATAACCCGCCGGTGCGTGTCTGTTTCAGCCGTTAAAAGACATAGCCGTAGTGAGCGGCAAGACCGCCAGATTCGAGTGCATAGCGGAAGGCGAACCCATCAGCGACGTGACGTGGTCGTGCGACGGCCGCGTACTGGACGACTCGGACTGCTACCGGATCCAGTACAGGAACGGCGTGTGCAGACTGACCATACCCAGGGCGTATAAGTGTAAGTAGAGCGCAGTGCGCAGACACGCGAGTGCCCGGACGTTGCGGACGGGACGGGAAGAGCGGACGCCGCGGACCGAACTGGATGATAGGGGGGGGCAAGCCCACCTTTTCCGGACGGCGTCCGCGCGTACCGCGTTCACACGGGGCCCGCAGTGGCGGATCCAGGATATTCTTCCGGAGGGTGGGGGATGTTTGAAAAATAATTTTCACTTGGGATTTTTGTTATAAAATTGCAGTCAGTGATTAATAATGAATTAAGATAATAGTAAGTAATATAATACATTAATTTATATCTAAGACTACTAATTTCTTGTATGAATAAAAATACAAATTATATACTTTCCCTTATACTTAAAAAAAAAAAAAAATCTTTTTCTTAATTCATAAAATTATTGATATTTAGTATATATTTTTCCTGATTTTTGGGAGGGGTTTAACCCCCTCGTGGATTCACCACTGTTCCCCGTAACGTCCGCGCACCGTCGTCGCTTAAGCTTGCGCGCACCACCCGACTAACCGTACAACCGTGTCTGTTTACAGTTAACGCCGGCTCGTACGTGTGCACGGTGTCCAACCACCTGGGCTCCAGTAGCACTTCGGCCAATCTCCATGTGTCAGGTGAGTCTCGCACGTTCATTCAACACTAAATCCGTGTATGGGCTTGTTCTTCTTTCACTTCGTGCATCGAATTCTCGTTGTCCTTAATTATTTTTATCATTAATTATCATTATTATCATTATTATCATTATTATTATTATAATTATTATTATTCCCGACCGGTCGGTGTGTGACGGGGTTTTCGCGTTCTCTTGTTCTTTAATAGTTTTCAACAATATGTTTAACTACACGATGTTTTTCTGTTTGTAGAACGTTAAGACTTATTACATTGTAATGCTATATGTTATCATCATTGTTAAGATATAGTACAATGTTGTTTTTTAGAATGTATAGTGTTGTCTAACCACAAATGTTAAGTATTTAACTTTGATACGCACATATTATATATTATTTTTATGTTAATGTTTAGTTTTTTTTTTTTTCGTAATTGTAACGAATAGCGTATTTTTACAATTTATCGTATTATTATTATTAATAATAATATTATCGTTTTGTAACAATAAACTTCTTATAACTGGTTATGGTTTCTTCTTTCTCCTATCTGTATGCTCTCATATCTATGTATCACGCTTGCAATAAGTGAAGTAAACGGTTCGGTTTCCAAAGAAATCGATTTTTTTTTTTATCTATTTAACTATATTATTGAAAGCACGTTTTAGTTGAAAAACAATAACACGTTTGCTATTAATACCGGTGGATGAGCACGGTAAGACATATAAGCTATACAAAACCGTTTGTATTCTGTGTGAGAGAATGCTAAAACATTTTTTTGTTCTATCGTGTGTGTGAGTGATTAATAATTATAAGCCAACGTTTTGCCAGAAAACAGTTTACACACCCGATAATTAGTTATAAAAAAAAACAACAACGAACGAAAATATGCGTAGACGAGTCGTGGACATTTTGTTCTTCCGACGCGCACACGTCTTTAACTATGTATTTACGCGTGTCAACCGAATGCAATTTCATCTGTATAATTTAATTCCATTACAATACAATGCGTTTACATGTTCGTTCGCAGTTTATCACGGATATAATGTTTACGGATTGACGGTTATTGGTAAATTCTAGTATATTAAGCAAATATGCTAATAAAAATGATGAGAATATATTTCAAACATTGTTTTTACAGCTTAAGCGTATTATTTTTAATTTTTTAGCAATCTCTGTCTATATATTTATAGATTAACCATATTTTCCTTTTTTTTCTTTAAGGATTCTTCTTCGATGATGTTTTGATTTATTTTAAGCCAGTTAATATGTTATCTTTGTCCTTCAAGTACATTAATCATTTTTAAAGTGAAAGGCACGGTTATAATTAATTGAAGTAAAAGAATCGTGTCAACTTTTTGCGGTTTTGTGCATTTTATGAACCTGTTATCCATGTATTGGATTTCCAAAGGGATATAATTAAAGTTGCGTATTTTTTTGATTTTAAAAAAACTGTATGAAGTCTTGGCGCCTTTATATACAGTCCTTATTGTTATTAAGTGTGATATATTAAATTAACTTATTTTATCGGAAGAAAATAAAGTAACATGACGAATTTTAACAATATTCCCAAGTACCTATTTATTTTTTCAGTTTTTATCCATATATATCCATATGCTCAGAAAAAGTTCACTTATCCCAAAATCAAAATGTATACTACCTTTTTTTTTTTTTTTGAACCGACGACGCCGCGGGAACTACTTTCGCATTACTTTCTTTAGAGTATACATAAATGTATACTACCTAGATAATATTATTTAGATAACTTACTTTCACAATGGTTCCTATAAGCGTGCGCAAAATTTTTTTGTAGGGTGTGAAAGTCAGGGTTAGTATATAGTAGTAAAATTGGGATCAACCCAATAGTAACTTGGGGGGGGGGAGCAAACATAGGCGAAGATTGCGGAGTGCTGGAGTACTTAGCCCCCAAATATAAAATACTACCCAATTATTTGATTACTTTCCTAAGTACCATGTTCCTGTATTTTTTTTTTTTTTTGATCTAAATAATTAATTAGTTGACCCCAAACATTTGATCAAATATCCGCTAATGGGAGCATGCCTCCACTTGTTATGTAACCCCAAAATCCCCTAGCTTATTTAATGCGACTATAGGGATTAAGATTAATGTGTTCATCTGAAGGATACATTTTTATTTACTTTTAAACTACCACGAGCCACCACTAATGATAACTGATAAATGAGAGTTTATCGATTCCGCCGAATAATTATATAAATTCTATATAAATTGTTTGCGCCGGCTCTTGATTGCACCGAATATTTTTATATATCCATTCCGTCGAAGATTAATATATATCTAAGAATATAACATTCATATTATAATATAAAAATATTTTCGGATTTTGTAAATACATAATATTGTTTCCAGCAGATTTTTACTAAATACTGACACAATAAATAATATTTTATTCTACTCTGCAAATTCTAATTTAAAATTGCTATGCTCTAGTTCTAATTATCAAACTGTTTACGGTTCATATTTTTAAAAATGGATATTATGTCCCATTATCCTAATTCTTATTGCCAGATAAAAGCATAAATACATACGCTACCGTATTTGGATGTATTATTAAAACATGTTCAGTTCAAAATTTATATTTCAATCCAACTACAATTGTTGCTGATTAATAATCAATGATTATTATATATATTATTATTATTTATTTATTCTATAAAATGTATGTTTTTTTCTTACTTAACTTCGTGCCACTATACCGTCCTGCTAGGTATTGTATATATAGTATATATAATGTAATGTGTATATAGTGATGTTATATGTATAAATATTTTCGGCGGGATCGATAGCTGGCGGAAACGATATATAAAAATATTCAGCGCAATCGATAGGTTTCTTACAGGTAAAAAGACCTTTTCAGCGAAGTCGATATACGCCCTGATAAAATATGTAGCTATTAGGGGCGGAACCGTTTTCGGCCATTCTGGAATGTCCGTTTTCGGCCAGTACACTATTTTGGCCACCAATTAAAAATATTTTACACGGTTTTTTCTGTAATACTATACCAATTATTTTTTGTATAATAATCTTATAATATTATTTAGTAAAATACGTTAATCAAATAATAAATAAAAAATATAAAGTCATAATTTTCATAATTTACAATTTATTTTAAAATCTCATATTATGTCAATTAACCCTTTGACGCCCACTATATGAATACCTTTTAGAAATTTTTTTTTTGTTTGAAACTAGATTAAAGAAGCATCAAATAAGAAAAATTTTGATTTTTTAATTTTCACAACTTTTGAAGTTTTTGAAGTTATAATTCTGTATGGAGTCATTGGGTCGATACGGTTGTAACTTGATCCATTTTATAATATATACCTAGATACCTTTTTGTATTTTCAATTTTAAAACTACATATATACATATTTTCTTATAATAATTATTTTTGTGAAAAAATTGAAAATAAATAATTTTTATCAAATATCAGTCAGTTTTATTTAACACATATTATTTTTAATTGAGTATTACATATGAAAATATTTTAACATTTAACACTGATATTAACTTACTTTTAGGAACTTAATTATTTTTAATAGAATTCATTCTACATAATAAATTATTGTACATAGATATTATAGGTAAGCATTTATAAAAATTTTAATATTTATAGGTTTTTTTAATAGTAAATAAATTAATAACTTGTTAATTTTGGTAAAATGTTCAAAAATTAAAATCTCGTATTATGTAAAGTAAAATAATATCTAAAAATTAAAATTATGAGTTTTGCTTATGATCAATTGATAAAAGAAAATCCATAATAAAAGTTTAATATATAAAACGAAGATAATGATGAAAGATATTCTATAGGTATAGATAGTTGTTAGTTATTACTTTTATCGACCGTCAACGTATAGATGTTGAATTTCCTATAATATAATCAGTAATTCCTAATAAGAATTAATATAGAGGATATGTGTGCATGTGCTACAGTTATTAAAAAAATTAAATTTTCCTAGTTTTATTTTTTTTTTGTGTAAATTTATAATATAATGTAACTTAATATTTTTTATTAAGATATGATTTACTATACATAAAAATAATTGGTATAGTATTACAGAAAAAACGGTGTAGAATATTTTTAATTGGTGGCCAAAATAGTGTACTGGCCGAAAACGGACAATCCAGAATGGCCGAAAAGTGAATTGGCCGAAAAGGGAAAGGTTCATTTTAGCCGAAAAGTGTCCCGCCCGCTATTAGTAGGTCTATTGTGGACACGGCTATAAAAATAAGGATATATTATATATAGCCGTGATTCTAGATAATAATTGAAGAGTTATCAGTTTATCACTCGGTTTAAAATAAAAATATCGATAATGTATTGACGTGTGTTATATACAGTACACATTCCTGCAAATAATTATGGAATTAAAGTTTTAATTATTAATGAAAATAACAATTTTAAAACAATGTAATTTTTCCAGGGTGTGCGTTGCACATCCTGCATAACCCGTGCGCACGCCTATGATGGTTCCATTTATAATATATAAAAAAATATATCCCGGTTATACTTATAGAACACATAGTTTCTAAAAAACAAAATATGTTTTTTCAATTGTTTGAATATCCTTTTTGATAGCATATTTAATTGTTTCATATTGTATAGTATTCATATAGTAAATAATTCATTACATTATATTTAGTATAATATATCGTGAGTGATAGAAAAACGAAAATGTCAGTTTTAACGGTTTTCGAGCTTAGTTGTTATTGTCATTTATTGGATATTGAATATTTATCCCTAGCTACGCAGAAGTGGTAAGTTATAAGTATTAATCTTAGATTAATGATTCCATTTAAATTATTATACTGAATTTGAATTTTAATCACTCTATTCAAATAGTCATCATAAAAATATTAGAACTGAGATTTTTACATGTAATCGTTGGGTTGTGGATTAATATATGGCGTTTATATTGATATAGTATATTAAAATATTTTAAACTCAAGTTGAATAACATAATAT